ATTGGCAGTGGGTCCTCAGCGCGTTGAGACGGAATTGTGAGTGCGTTGTTACGTCAGTCGGTTGTCAGGGAGTCGCCAGTGGGTTGTCAGTTTGTTGCCAGTTATTGGCTCCCCACCGGTTGTCAAATGGTTGTTCGGTCGGTTGTTATTGGATGTGTCGCTAGCATGCTGTGGGACTGCCATTGACCCAGTGCCCCTGCTGTGAGATTTTCATTGGACTGCCAGTGGATCAACAGCTGGTCGTGAATGGACCGACAATGGATTCTTAGTGCGTCGTAATTGGGCTGCCAGTAGGTTGTCAGTCGGTTGTCAGTGGATTGTCAGTGGGCTGTCAGCGGATTGTCAGTGGATTGCCAGTCGGTTGTCAGTGGACTGTCAGGGTGTTGCGTCTGTCGGGTGTCAGTAGATTGTCAGTGGGTTGTCCGTGACACTGCTTGGGTGCAGCCAGGAGCCCCATTGGTAATCCGCTGACAACCCACTTACAACCCAATTGACAGTCCATTTGCAATCCACTGACAGCCCAACTGGCAGTCAAACGACAAGCCACTGACAGACGACTGGCACGCCACTGACAATCCACTAACAACCGACTGCTTAACCACTGACAGTCCGCTGACAACCCACGGACAGCCCACTGACAGGACATTGGCAGACCATTGACAGTTCACTGACAACTCACGGACGGCCCTGCTGCCCGCACCAACCGACAACTCCCTGACAGCCCACTGACAATCCACTGACAGCACAGTTTCAACGCACTGAGAACCCACCGACAGTCCACTCACAACCCGCTGGCAGTCCAATGACAGTCCAATCAGCCCCACAGCGGGCCCCCCTAGATCATAGGGCGGGTTGTCAGGGGGGCCTGGGAGGCTCCTCTCCAGGGGCTGTCTTGGGTTGTCAGCAGGGCTCCTTGGCGGTTGTCAGCAGGGCCCTGGGAGGAGGAGGAGGAGGAGGAGGAGGAGGAGGAGGAGGAGGAGGCGGAGGCGGAGGTGGAGGCGGAGGCGGAGGAGGAGGAGATCGAGGACGAGGACGAGGAGGAGGAGGAGCAGGAGGAGGAGGAGGGCCCTGGGGGCGCCTGGGAGGAGGAGCAGGAGGAGGAGGAGGAGGAGGGCCCTGGGGCCGCCTCTTGAGAGGCCCCGGCGGCTTTTCGGCGGGACCTTTGGCGCGTGGTGGGCGGAGCCGTCAGGCGCCTTCCCAGGCGGGGCACCGGCGGGTTGTCAGCGGGACGCGTTTGCGAGAGGCTCTGGCCCGTTGTCAGTGGGCCCCCGCTGCTGGTTGTCCGTTAGGGGAACAAAAAGTGACTCGAACATAAAAACTCGGAGGTCCGCGCGGATTTCTCGGACCGGCGCTGGACCCCCCTGCGCGGCGCGCGGAGCGCGCCAGGGGCGGCGCCGGAGGCGCCGCCGGGGGGCCCCAGCGCCGATCTCAGAAGTCCGCGCGGACCTCCGAGTTTTTATGTTTGTGCCAATGTTTGTTCCCCCAGGGGAGATGGAGGAGGAGGAGGGAGGAGAGGAGGAGGAGGAGGAGGAGGAGGAGGAGGAGGAGGAGGAGGAGGGAGGAGGAGGGAGGAGGGAGGAGGAGGAGGGAGGAGGAGGAGGGAGGAGGGGGAGGAGGAGGAAAGAGGGAGGAGGAGGAGGAGGAGGAGGAGGAGGAGGAGGGAACGTTTTGGCAGGCAGTGCAGAGCTCGCCCCCCAGCACGTATGGCCTTGCACAGGCGTGCAGGGCAGCAGCCCACATTCATCCTGGAGCGGCTGCCCCGGGTCGGTGGATCTGCCCCGGGGGGTCTGGCTGAAAGCCAGGTCGGAGGGCAAAAAAACGACGACCCTCACGAGGATTCTGGCCCCGACGGGGGGACGGAGATAGGCCCCTCTCCTCTTCTTTGAAGCCAAAATCATTGATTTTACTAGGGTTTTGGCCCCATTTGGCCCTTCTGAGGGGGCAGCGCAGTTTGGGAACCCCCAAACCGGGTGGTGAGATACCAGGTGGCGACCTGGAATCCCCCAAAAAAGGTCACCGCCGGGTCTGGGGGCGCGGGGTCACCACCGGGTGTTGTGACTCCTGGACCCACCAGTGTCCGGGGCATCCCCGGAGAACCGCACACGAGTCCCCAAACCGGGTGGTGACACCAAATCGCCCGAGGCTCACCGCCAGGTGTTGTCACCACCACGTTTGGGGACTGCCAAGCAGTGGCGAGTGGTGTGATCGCCTCGCCGAGCAGCCGCCTCTGCACCGGGGCGGGCTCGCCGCCTCCGGGGTAGGAGTGCCAGAGGTTCAACTGCTGCACGGCAGGACGAGCCTTCACCAAGGGGCTCCTACGGGAGCCCTGCTCCACAGCAGGAAGGACCATCACCGACCACGGGGGGCCGACAGGGGAAAACCTGCTCCACCGTGCGACGGATCGCCACCTTCGGGGTGGCTCGAAGAAAAAGAATGACACGGGCTTGAATCGTTGGAGCTCCGCGCGGATTTCTGGGATCCGCGCTGGACTCCTCTCCCTGGCGCGCGGAGCGCGCCAGGAGCTGCGCCGGAGGCGCCACCAGGGGAGCCCAGCGCAGATCCAAGAAACCCGAGCGGAGCTCCGGAAGGTTGCCCGTCGGCCGTTGGAAGCAGGCGGTTGTGGACCCCCAGATCCCAATCTACTTTGGACGCCTTCCTACTTCAAGAGCCGAGCGGTGTTTCCGCTTCCCTCCTCTTCGGGGGGCGGGCGGAAGCCCAATAGATTCCCAACGCCTTTCTACTTCGTGTGTCGACCCACTTCTTCTGACCGACAGGTATGCCGTTCTTGTTCGTCCTCTGGTAACAATGACAGGGGGATTTGCTCCACGGCAGGACGGACTGCACTTCGGGGGTCAGGGGGAGACCTGTTCCACAGCGGGGAGGCGCAGGAGCAGCAGGAAGGGGAAGGAGGAGGGGGAGGAGGGAGGACTAGGAGGAGGAGGAGGACGACGACGAGCAGCAGGAGGAGGGGAGGGAGGAGGAGCAGAGGAGGAGCAGAGGAGGAAGAGGAGGAGGAGGAGGAGGAGAAGGGAGGAGTGGGAGGAGAGTTGGAAGAGGAGGATGGGAAAACAGGAGGAGTGGAGTTCGAGGAAAGGGAGGGCGAGGGAGAGAGCGAGGACGGGGATTGGGAGGAGAAGGCGAAGCAGGCGAAACCCTTGTCAAACAGGAGTTGGAGGGTGATGGTAAGTACAATGGGAGGAATGGGTAAGGCACAGTTGATCATAAGTTGACAGGCTTCCTCTGACTATCATGTCATGTGTTGGCGCTGTATTGAAACATGTGGATTGGTGATATCAGCATCCCGAAGGAGTTGGTGGTGGATCAGCAGCCCTTCTACGTCGAGCCACAGCACGCGAAGATGTGGTTTCGCGACGTGGCACAGCTGACCCAGAATTTATTTGCATACTCATACTACTCAGGCAAAGAGAACGAGACAAAGATGACCATAGTCAGGCGGGCGTGTTTCTGCCTACCCGGATGGTTCTGTTGCGTTTCAGGTAAGGTGGCCATGTGTTGGTTCGTTCTCGCGCGTCGTCTGTGCCGACCTCGCCATCAGCCTATGCGTTCTCGTGATGCCGATCTTCGTATTGTAGCAGCGGCGTCAGCAACGGCAGAATACGACGTAAATTGGCATAGCGCAAATTCTACGAGCCGCAAATTCTACTCATTTCGCCCGTTGTGTCCTTGCAGTTCGGAGGCGCCCAGTTGATGCAGGACTGGAAGGGGAGGGCCCCCTTCCAGTCCTTGCATGTGTCTTTCCTCCCTCTCGTCCTATCCCCCCCCGATCTAGACTGCGAAGCGGATGAAACCAGCAGCGTTCATGTTTCACACGGGTGGTCTTGTTTATCGGCGTCTTCGGTCTGGTTATTCCAGCACGTTACATTCTTCGTCTTGGGGGCCCGTGCGTCACCAATCTGTAATGGCACCCACCCCTCAGACCATGTGACCATGGCCACCAGGGACCACCGCGTCTGGAAGGCCCTCGCGCCTTCTGAGAAGTGTTCTGCGCCTTCGGAACAAGTTCAGAAAACTTCTCAGAAGGCCGGAGGACTTCCGAGCCTCATGAGAAGGTGTCATCCCTCTCATGTCCGCTCGCCGCCGTTTCTTGGGATCGGTTGATGGGCGAGGCGTAGCCTCTCGCCTGCAGCAGGCCCTTCCGCAGCAGCATCGGATCGATGCCGACAGTGCCAGAAACGCCGTTGTGTGGCCTTGGTGCTGACGCTCGTCTTGGTGCCAAATCTTGGCGCCAAATGCCAAAGTTGAATCCATTACCGGAACACGAGGAGGTCCAGTTCCTACAGGCCCGTCTTGGAGTCGAATGTGGACGTCTGCGGATTGGCGAAGTTCATTGCTCTGAAGTCGGTGCGGTGTGGTGCCGTGTACGTCTGCAGCAGGCTTATTCCTTTCGTCCGGAACCAGGCAGTGGCGATCTTGCCGAAGTTTGCATGCGTTCTGGGATTTTTGTTGCGTGTGGAAGCCTTGAAGGTGCTGGTTCGCTGCAGCTGCACCCGCACCTCACCCTGGCCGACGCAGCCCCACCTCATAGACTGGACCAGGACGTCCAAGGGTCTTGCTTGGCATCGACCCCCCAGAATCCCAAGAGCATGCGAAAGGTTCGAGCTCCGATCCTCGATGCCCTCTTGGTTGTGTGTAATCGGGCCCCTCTTCCGCTTATGCTGCACAGCTCCGCCTGGCCTAACCCCCACAAGAGCACCCTCTCTCTCTCTCCCCCTGCAGGGCTCGCCGACGTCGCACCGTGCAGAGTGCCACCACCCCGTCACTCTCCGCGCTGGCCCTGCCCGTCCATCTGCACGTCCCCCGGTGCCGAGCAGTGGCGAAGCGTCATCGCTTGCCTACAGGCCCACCAAAGAATGTTCTGAGAACCTCTTGGGGTCTGAACGAAATAGTCCTTGAACATGTCTGGCCGAGGTTGTCTTGTCTTAACACATCGGCTTGGTGTTCTAAGAACATTGTTTCTGTGATTGGAACATCTTTGGCTT